GGGGGGGGGGGAGATCTGTGCTGCCTTTAAATGCAACAATTGAGACCTGGGAAAAATTTAGCTGTAACGTGCTGCCTTCAAATAATCTTTCTTAACAGGTTAAGAAATGCTGACAAGTTTGTAAATGACACTAGTTTGTGTTAAAATGTATCTGTATTTATAAAATTGAGTTATTTGTATACCTGTTAATAAAATATATACACTAGACTCTTTTAAATTAATTCGCTATATTATTTGATTAATAGTTTCCATATTTTAAAAGAAATTCTTTGAAATACTTCAGCTTGTTCCTTAATAGTCCTTTGAAGTCTTTTGGTTCCTAGATCATGCTGGGGCATTAACTTCACTCTCAAAGCAGAGTAAGTCACACCTATGTCATTCTTGGAAGATGTTTTTCTAACTCATTCTAGGACTCTTACTGCTGTTCAGTGAACTTGTCTGATCATCAAAAGGTACTTTCTCCACCCCAGTTGTATCACAGCTTATGTTTCATCTATTCACACTCACACATATTAAACCCTTCTAAGTTTAGGACAATTTCTAAAGTTCACAGAGGTCAATGGAATCACTTGCACTTACTTTAATAGAATCAGGCCCTCAGAGATGAAAAACTTATTTTACACATTTTCAGTCATCATTGCAAGGTCATTCCATTTAAAAAAGGAACTTTCCTAAGCAAACATCACAATCTGTGGGTAGGCAATGATGTTTACCTTAAAATGGAAACTTTTTTCCCCCACAGGTACAATCTGTGCATGGTAAAATGCAGAATATGGCTGAACCTGTAGCAAAAGTTCCAGTGGAAATAAAGAAAATTAAGTTGCCTAAAAAAAAAGAGAACAGTGAAAATGATAGGTTTTTCATGTATATTAAAAGCTTCGTGTAAGCATAAACCAGTACTGAATGTATCTTAACAAATTGCTCACTGAATGAGTTTTGTCTGTGTGAATTGTTTGGGATTAAACTGTGATTTTCTCAAATGCATTTGCTCTTATTGCTTTACTGACAATACATTATGAAGAAGTCTCGATCTGTAGCTCATTTTTGAGCTCTGTTTGTTGGAAATATAATTACATACTACGTTTCTTTTTCCTGATTGGGGGAGTGGTGTAACAGTTAGACACAGGTTTCCAGCGTCTGTACTATGATTAGGATTTTAAATTCAGCTGGGGACAAGTTGCACTGCGATTCAAATCACACTGAAAAGACATTGACTGCAGCAGCCCTGTCTTGTAATCACATTGCTCAGTGGTAACCCAGAATTTGCAACCTTGTTCATAAACATATTCTGTGGGCCGAAAGTACTGAAAGAGCAAGCAGAGCTCTGCAACCCATAGTTATCGATTTATGTTCTGGATTAATTACATTTTATTTGTATACCTTTTTTTCATTAGAGGTATTATAGACACAATCTAAATTCTTTGTGTAGGGAAACAGATTTTTAGATGCATATTAATAATCACTATTATTTTATTTATTACCAATTAAACATCAAGTTAATAATGCTATTATCTCAGGATCAAGAGCCATGTTGTGAAGCTGAGAATTTAAAGATATTAATATTTTTTTATTATTTATGTTTCATGCTATTTTAATAAGGTTTCCCCTTCACCTTCCTTTACGTAATTGCTATATATTTGCAAGATTAATTCAAAATTAATGGACGTTTATTTATGGGAATTAATTTTCTTTCTATAATAAAGCTGCTAATGAAACATATTGGAAGGTTCGTACTGTGGAACCAATTATTTCCTACCATATCTGTAAGTAACATTACCAGCTTGCAGTTATGTTCCTGAACATAATTGTCATTAGATTTTGTGCAAGTTTCCTCAAAACTGCATCTAAACATTAGCAGTTTTCAGTCTAAGAAGTTCACCTACAAGCTTAAATAAACCATTAGTATGCTCTTTGTATTTCAGAGGAATAATTTTTTGACAATAAAGAGTTCACACTAAAAACTCTATTTTTGAAATT